CTCCACTTTCAAATTTGTCGGCTATCACTTATTAGTATTTGTCGGAATGGATATGATCGGACCATTTAACAAATAAGTTTGAATTATTGAGTGATATTTATTTTTAGGAAAATTTCATAACTAAAAAGTTAAGTTTCACAAATTTTAAAAATTAAAAAATTAAGTTTAAAATTTTAAAATCTCAAATTTTTATTTTATTTTATTTTATTTATAAATTAATTAATTAAATATATTAAGGTCACAATTTCATATAATTTGATCACAAATTTCATATAATTGGTCATATATTATTAATGGGTCGCAAATCATAATTTTTATATCACAAATTATTTTATTGTCACAATTCAAAAATTTCATAGGTCACAATTTGTTTATCAGTTACAAATTAAAAATTTGTACGTCACAATTTATTCATCAGTCACAAATCTATCAAATTAATAATCACATATTATTTATTGGTCACAAATTTTATAAGTCAGAACTTATTTCATGGTCACAAAATATCAAATTAATTGGTCACACAATTTATCAAATTATTGGTCACAAATTAATAAATGTTTAGGTCACACGGTATTTATTGGTCACAATTTATCTATTTTACTGGTCACATATTGTTTATTGGTCACACAACCTATGGCCACCACACCACTGTTGTAGTCGAAACCAACGTCGCCGAACCACCACCACCTCCCTACAGCAAATTTTTATGTCACATATTATCTATTGGTCACAAGTTATTAGTTATAAATCACAAATTATTTTATGGTCATAAAATATCAAATTAATTAGTCATGATTTTAATAAATTGTAAGTTACGATCACATTTTTTAGGTAACAAATTAATCAATTTATTTGTTACAATTTGGTCACAAACACCTTCACCCCATCCCACAGCCACCAACACTACCACCACCGCCATAGCTTTAACCACCACAACCACAACCACAACAAGCTCTGCTATGCTGAAATCAAATAGAAACCTGGATGTTGTATTTAAGGCTACAATACTTAGCAATATGCTCTGCTATGCTCCATTGATAGAAATACAATTACAATTTACAGCAAACACCACCACTAACATCGCCATCGTGGCGAGCACCGCACAAATCAGCTCCCCACAGTAGCGTTGTAAACGTCTTTGTGGCACCCAAATTAAAGCCACTTACATTTTCAGATCATTAACTCCCGAAAACCACAGTGATCGTCTTACCTTACAACGATGCTGTAGAATGATGCAAAGCACCACAAAGCGCTATCGGATGGCTATCGATATCGACAACGCCACGAAGTAACGTCATGTGAGCGAAGCACGCATGTGGTGACACCGGCACAGTGCGACGAAGTATAGCATTGGAGTGTTCGTTGGTACCAACGATACAGAGTAAAGGAAGAAAAAGGGAAGAGGGGAAAGAGTGTGTGTGAAGATAGAATAAGCTGATTTAGGGTTTGAAATTAGATAGGGTGGTCGGTGGGGGTGGATGGATGGATGGTAGGGTTGTATATACATTAGTTTAATTTTATAATATTATTTTTAATATTGCATTATAATTTAGGGCGTGGTCGGTAGAGATTAAAATAGAATTAAAATTGAAAAATTAGTCGTTATTGTTGACTTTTATTAGACGAGTGAAACCCAATAACGTTTATATTTTCAATTTTAATTCAATTTTAAGTTTAGTCAAACATGCTCCTAATATCTAATTTTTGAATATCTGATTTTTGTATAAATACTAGTAAGACGCACGTGTAATGTACGTGTCATAGTATAGTTGGCTATATGATAGTGTAAATATAAAAAAAAATTTATTTGTCTTAAATATTAGTTATATTAAACTTAAAATACTTGAAATGATGATAGATGACAAAAATAATATTACGAGATTTGATTCAAAACTTATTTTCTAGACTTTACGTTTGAAAGTCTCTATGTTCTTTTTAAAAAAAGATATAGTATAAATGATTAGGTGTTGCTGCCATGTTAAAGAGATAATGAAGTTCAACATAACCCTCATTTTTCTACCTATTGAGGTAATACATTATGTCTCCTTCATCTCGT